AGGGGGACCCGCGGGGCGAGGGCGGAGCTGCGAGGCTCCAGCTTCCACACCCGCTCCAGTCTCCCTACCGAGCCAGAGCGCCCTCCGCGTTGATTGGGAAGATTTGGTGGCATTATATGTACATATATATATACACACACACACACACTCACACATATAGATGTATACACACACATATATATACACACACACACGTATATATATATGTACGCAGAAGCCTCCAATCCGTGGACACAGACCTGCTCTATCGGTAGACTGCACCCTTCTCATTAATTGGAAAGATTTAAAGAATGGTTCCTTTATATATATATATATATATATATGCAGAAGCCTCCAATCCGTGGACACAGACTTTATCANACAGACCTGCTCTATCGGTAGACTGCACCTTTCTTGTTAATTGGAAAGCTTTAAAGAATGGTGGCACTCTCTATATATGTGTATGTATATATACACACACACACACACACACGCAGAAGCCTCCAATCCGTGGACACAGACCTGCTCTATCAGTAGACAGCACCCTTCTTGTTAATTGGAAAGATTTAAAGAATGGTTCCTTTTTATATATATACACACACACACACGCAGAAGCCTCCAATCCGTGGACACAGACCTGCTCTATCAGTAGACTGCCAAGTGCATTTTTTTTTTTTTAATATATCTTTATTGATTTCAGAGAGAGGAAAGGAGAGGGAGAGAGAGAGACATCAATGATGAGAGAGTCATTGATCGGCTGCCTAGCCCACAACCCGGGCATGTGACCCGCCCGGGAATCGAACCCCGATCTCCTGGATCCTAGGTCGATGCTCAACCGCTGAGCCACGCCCGGCCGGGCCCAAGTGCATTTAGATGTTCGGTCGTGGGGTGTAAAAGTTCTCATTTGTCATGTTTCTGTTAGTAAGGCATCGTTATTTGCAGTCGTGACGGTCATCGCTTTATTGGACATTTAGTGTGAAACGGGGGCCTGTATTTCATATAAAATAGTAATTAGCTTTGAAAGGCCAGTAGGCAAACGTAGTTGTGTATTGGTGTGTTTTTGGTCCTTATAAAAATAAAAATTAGGCAATGTCCAAACTGTGGACTTCTCATTGGGTTCTACTTTGAGCGTGTCTCCTGCCACATAAGTACTTGGTCAAGTCTATGGGCAAAAAGTTCATTTCAGAAATCGGGAGAATCATTCTGCACTCGAGAAGGTAACGACGGTGGATCTTTGCAGGCCTAGCACGAGGGGGGTTTCTGTGCAGTTTACCGCCATCACTGTACCCACTTCTCCATGCCAGCCTAAGGCCCTTCGAGGGGCTGTTCTCTGTGTCGTCGCGAGCTCGCCTTTGTTACCTTTGTGTTCATTTCCATCGTGGGCTCTACCCTTTGGCCCTGTGGAGTGACTGTTGCAGAATCTCGCTCTGGTAAGAGCTGCTTGCATGAGAAATGGCCTTGGAAACCCTGCCTTTGGCAAGACACGTTTCTCCTCCCCTCACATCATGAATCAAGTTTTATTTGGCGTGTAAATCGCTCCTTATTTTTTCTTTTTCTTTTTCCATTTCAGAGCCACTCAGTACACATGCATGTTGCTTAGATATTTGTTAGAGCCTAAAGCTGACAAAGAGAAGGTGGTAACGAAGCTCAAGAAGCTGGAGTCTAGTGTGAGCACTGGCCGCAAATGTAAGTACCCTGTCTCTTGAGGGACAGTGGCTCCTGCCGTGGATCCTCAGACTCTGCAGTTCACAGAATACTTTCTAGAACATTCATTTCTAGACATTCAGGTTCACTGATGAAGTCGACCAGTCTGTCTGCCCTCACGGAGCGACAGGTCTGAAAAGTTGACTGATTTTGTTCACGTCACTCACAAATACCTGCTGTGTTCACATTCGTTGCTGCCCCGTATCTTTCTGGTTAATCATAACCCGTGGGACACACGTCGTGTCAGTTCACCTGTAGTTCTCAGAATCACAGCGTGAGCTCCTGGCTCCTGGAAATGCTTTGTGACCCCTAGAACAGAATAGCTGTATCCTGGACTCCCTGCCTCTCCCCTTCTCTTGAGGGATTGCTGGGGCCAATGGATGGATACATTGCCTTAGACGGTTTGTGGCGTGGTTTCGTGTTAAGGGCAAAAAGTGAAGTCAGTGTTTTATGCTCATTTAATTCACTTCACCAGTAAGGTGTACTGGGAAATCCTGTGATTCTAGTAACAATTGTGTGCCCAACTCCTGGTTGGTTGAGAAGAACCAGGCTACAGCGGGTAAGCAGACGTCAGGGGGAATGTAGAAATCAGGTATTGAGCAATTATTTGTGAGCACCTGCTTCATGCAGGCATGGTCCTGGACTTTGTGGGAGCACTGAGATCACGTGGTACAAATAATGCTACTAGATTTAGCGCCAGATATGTTGGTAGGGGGAAGGAAAGGCATTCTGGAGGAGGTGGACCTAGAGGCGTGGCTAGTGAGAGGACGAAGAGGAGCGCTCTAGAAGGGTGGTTTCCTCTAGCAAAGGCCCAGGGCAAACAGTCATGTGGAGGATCAGTGAGAAAACTAGTTTGGCGAGAGAAGACTTAAGTTGTCAAGCAGGGTGGGGTGAGCTTTTCTGGATGCTTTGAGGACCAAGAATAGAAGCTCTCAGATTCTTTAGCGTGTTGGAGCTCAGAGGTCCTTTAGAGGTCACCAGTCCTTCAAGTCCAGTTAGTGCAAGAGCCAGAACTGGAACCCAGGATTATTCATTCAATGCATATTTTGTTCTGCGTTATTTTTGATAAAATAATACCAAACATTCTTCTGAGATTATAAGTTTCCTGAAGGCAGCTACTTCAGAGCATTTGCTGAGTCTAAGGTACAGTCCTTTAAGGAAAGTTTAGGACGGTAACTCATTCTGAGTATCTGACTGATCCATAAATATTTGGTTGATACATCTCTGATTAATTGAATTACATGCTCAGATAAGAACTTGCCTTGCAATGGTTGCTTTAATTCAACCAGGAGTCACATAAGACAATATTATTAGTTGTTGTGTCCACTAGATCCTACTACCTTCACTTCTTGTGTAGTCTTCTCGACAGTAGGAGCCAGGGGGGGTTTGGACCAGAGAAATGGCAAGTCGATAATGGTGTTGTTTTTTTTAAAGCAACCTTTTATCTGGAAAGCAAATAAAAGGGATCAGACTCTCCAAGAGAATGTTGCCTCTGGGGTCCACGTTACCATAGTAGCTTCTGTGTAAAGAGGTAGAGGCTGGTAGCAGTCAGGTGGAACAGTGCTGACATGTGTCATAGGCAGTGCTAAGCGTGCACTTGACAGGGGCAGTCAAGTCAAAGAGCCACTGTCTGTGCCTTCCAGGGTCACGTTAGGTGTCCCAAACATACTGTAAAGTCTTTTTCCTTTCCTGAGCAAGGTCTGAGCCTCAAGTGACAGTTTGTTGTTAAAGACTGGTGCTGGCCTACCCCCCGATGCAGGGACCCTGCATTCCTGTCGTAGTGGTTCAATAACTGGTTACTGTCATGGATTCTCCTTGCAGGGTTCAGACTGGGCAATGTGGTGCACGCCGTACAGGCCACTCAGCAGAGCATTCACGCCACGGACCTGGTGCCCCGCCTGTGTCTGACACTCGCCAACCTGAACCGTGTAGTTTACTTCATCTGCGACACCGTCCTCTGGGTGAGGAGCGTGGGACTTGCCTCTGGCATCAACAAAGAGAAATGGCGGGTGTTGGCTGCGCGCCATTACTACTACTCTCTCCTACTGAGCCTGGCCAGGGATCTGTATGAAATCTCCCTGCAGATGGAGCAGGTCGCACAGGACAGGGCAAAGAAGGAGACGTCACCATCCCAGGATCCTCTGGGGTACAATGTGGCTGATGAGGAAACGGAATGGCTCCAGTCCTTCCTCCTGCTCTTGTTCCGCTCTCTGAGGAAGCACCCTCCCCTGCTGCTGGACACGGTGAAGAACCTCTGTGACATCCTGAACCCTTTGGACCAGTTGGGGATCTACAAGTCCAACGCTGGCGTCATTGGACTCGGGGGTCTTGTGTCCTCTGTGGCCGGCATCATCACCGTGGCCTGGCCTCACCTGAAGCTGAAGATCCACTGAGGCCATTCCAGGCTGCAGGCTCAGACCCCTTGGTGGAATGGACATTTGTGTGGGGCACAGACCATGTCAGCCTGTGCTTGAAGGCTTGTTCACAAGAGCATTTAGCCGCCTGGTATGTGAGCAGAGGCTGGGCCAAGAATGGAGAGGGGAGAACATGAAGATTTGCATATGTTTTCTGGAGTGCTGCGGTGACTTCTGAATTTCTGAGTATTTTCCCTTCGTCTAGCATTCATTGAGCCTCTCATGCACATAGTAAGAGCTTAGTGTTTGCTGAATGAATAAAAATGGAAAGAAAACAAATCTTTAAAAGGCCCAACTAATAAGTGAACACTAATATACAGTAACATTTGAGCTGCGTGCCTCACTGCTCTTGCACAACCACGGCAGGTCTGATTCCCAGCCCTCAGCTCAGGGCAGGCCCCTTCCTCCACAGAGGCCCATGGCAGGATGGGGCAGCTGGGCCTGTAGCCTGTGAAACTGCTCGCCCTGACATCACTGCACTCCTGTCCTGTCCTCTGTCTGGAAGTAGAACCAGAAACGCATCAGGAACCTCCAAGGTATATGTTGTGTCTTTAGGTGGTGCAGTGACTCAGCAGAAAGTCAGAAGCAGTAGAAGGAACTTGTAAAAGGAATGTGGACGTTCCCAGGGGGGACCTGTAGGTCACCTGTGACAGATGAGGGGACAGGTTTAAAAACGCTGAGGCCAGAGCCCCATTCCTCTGATTCTCAGTCCACTGTTCTTTCCATGACATTCCACTGTGTCCTGGTGGAGGGGGAGTGGAGACTGTCCAGAACCCTGTGCAGGAAGCCTCTTTGAGAACCTGTGTTGGTCAGTGGTTCCTCTTTTCTACAAAAATTAAAGCCATATTTAGACTTACCAGCTAGATTGTTTTATTTAAAGCCATATGACAATTTGGGCATTTCCACGTTAATTTTTATCAAAATTTATGCAGTTAAGTTTCATGAATATTCTGAACGTAGGAGGTTTGCAGTTTTCTATGACCAGTCAGACTTCATATGTGTAGGGTGGCTGGGAGGTGTAGGGGCTGGTGAAGGGGACACTGGAATATTGAGTGGCGGCTGCTTACGCATGCCCCTGCTTCCTGCCTTGGGTGTAGGGTTCTTCTCTGTGATTACAGACCCTCTAACCTGCGGGAGGTGACGTAGAGAAGGGGGGCAACCTCAGCCCTGCCCATGAAGCTGTCGCATTGAGTGGCAGAGAGAAGACGTATGCACTAAATAAATTTCCCCTAAATGCAGTTGAGCTTCGTGGAAACTAGACTCAGTTCCCCGACTCTGTTTTCAAAGTGATCAAAATACAGGATTTGACGAAGAACATTTTGGTAATTTGGAGAGAGATGTAAGCTACTAGATCAGGGCAAATAAGTCGTTTAAACAACTCTTTTTACCTTGTGTAGGTCCTGTACCATAATAGGTTAAGTACATCTGATTAAATTTCTAGACAAAATGGACTTGCGTTTCTGTGACTGTGTTCTGGGCCTGGAGGAGAGTTCCCAGGAAGGCGACGGGGAGGACCTTAAGCAGAGCTGGCACGGTGGGTGGGGTGAGCTGGTGCATGAGCTCTCCCCTGGAAGACCCCTGCTGAGGAGGAGGGCAGAGGGGGTTTAGATGTAGGACGCCTGGGTTGAAATAGGCCCCTGAGATCTCATCGAGGCTGCTACCCAGAGGGGGTCCTCTCAGCCCCACCAGTGGGGTTTTGGCTTCTGCCTGGAGGCATGTTTTGTGGTATCCGTGGTAGGACCTTTGTCCTTTCTGAGTTACGGTGGGCCGTGGGAGTTTGGGGAATGCGCCACTTCTAGAATTTGTGAAAAGCTAGGATGCATGTGCCCCGGTACTTCCCTCTCCGTGCATCTCTCTCCTTTTTAACTAACACCCCCCCCACCTCAAGCCTCCACATTCACGAGCAGTTCAAAAACCAAGACGTTCCTGATGGATGTACAAGCAGCCCGTTCGCAACAGGCCCCGTTCCCTGAGAACTTAACTCATTCAGCGTTTGAGAGCCTTGCTTAGTTTTGGGGTCCACTGTGCACAGATGACAAAGCCCCTGTGCTCCTGTGGTGCTGGTGGCGGTGGAGGGGGGTGGCAGGCAGATAGGGAGAAGGGAACTATGTCCTTGAAGCTGCTCATGGAAAGCAGACACTTCTCAAGGGACTCCCGGGCCTTTCACCTCGCTCACCTCTCACCCACATCCTGGCCTCGTGGCGCCGCGGCCAGAGGACCAGCTCTGTCAGCAGAGCTCCCAGGCACCGGGCCCTCTCCTCCCTCTGGCCCGCAGCCACCTCTCCAGAGGCTGCAAGCTGCCCTTTGGCCCAGGTTTGCTCTCCAGACACAGCCCCTTGGCTAATCCACCCTGAACTTCGCAGCGAGGGCAGAGGCCGCTCTAGCAGAGGCCGCTCTAGCTACCTCCCCTCCTCTCCCTTGCTGCCTTTCATGTCTGAAGTCCAGTTGGACCCATAAGTATTAAACACATCAGATACTACTCCCTGCTGGACTCTCCCTCTCCTGACTCAGTCCCTGCTTTATTGTGTCACAGGTACAGGCTTGATGACCAAGGACCTATCGCGGAGCTCAGTTTCCCCCCACCCTCTGCCTCTCTCTCCATTGCCCACAGCGTACAACTCAGAGAGTCAACAATGGACACAGTTCTACCAACAACGAGGGAAGTGAGTGTTGTCTGCTCCTGCCCATTTTAACTGAAAGGCCCTTCTCAGTCGGTCTGGACACCATGGCTTACACCACAGTCCTCCCTCCATCCTTTGTGGGCAGGAACTGGACCTCAGGCCCGGCCTGACCCATTGCTAAAGAAGGCGTGCGAGGCAACAGTTCTTGGTTGTTGACCAGTAGCAGGATCTTGGTCAGTGCTCACTTTTCCAGACTCGACCACGTCCAGCTGGCTCTCCAGTGGCATATTCTGGTGGCAGCTTAGGCCAGGTGGAGTTCAGTAAGCTTCCTTGAAGTCTAAGAATTGACAGGATTGAAATTGCCCCCTCCAAGGCTAGACTGGCAGGGAGCCGACCCAAGCTCTGGCTCTCTCCCTCACCGAGCAGCCTCTCCTCGTAACCAGAGGGGCACATCCAGGTGAACTCTGGTTCCTGTGTGGGATTAGCTATCACTGTTCAAAATCCGCTCCTGACAGTACATGAGGGAAGGGGGAAAATGGGTTGAAAACAGCCCCACAGGACCCTCTGAAAGAGGAGCCAAAGGTTATAGAGCTTCCGAGTTTAGTGGTATATATCCCAGCACCTTCCTTCTAGAAAACAGGGTTTTGAGAACTGGGGGCCAGAAACACGCTATAGAACCAATATTTCATGATTCTGGAATAATGACTCCTCTGAGCCTGAATCCCCTTCAGCTCTGCCATCTACCTCCCTCCCAGTTGGCTCAGTCTTCCAGAAGTTGGGATATGCCCGGGGGACCCTGGGTCAAATAACCATGACAATCGACTGACTAAGCTTTCTCTTCTCCTCTGCCCTCCTCTAGCTGGGAGGTGTTCATAGCATTGCCCAAGACTCCTCGGAGCAGCTGGGATCGTTTCTGCCGGAGGAGACACTCTGCAGCCCGGGCTCTGGGACGGAGGCATCAGCTAGAGTGAGTGCGGGGGTCCTGGGACACCTGCCTTACCTGGTTGGTTTCTGAGAGAGAAAGGAAAAGACGTTGAGGGTCAGGGTCTCCTGGGAATTTTTACTATGGACAAAGAGACCGGCAAGAGTGCAGAGTCGATAGTCTGGGGCCGCTCGCTTTTCCAGAGCACAGCCAGAATAGCTGGTTTTAAGAGGGACTGCTTTCTCGCTCAGTTGAGCATAGAAGGAAGTACTGGCAGAGATGCTTGCTTAAAAGGAGGAATTAATGCAGAACTTTATCTTTTAAAAAAAATATATATGTTTTTATTGATTTTAGAGAGAGAGGAAGGGAGAGGGAGAGATGGAACATCAATGATGAGGGAGTTNGAACTTTATCTTTTAAAAAAAATATATATGTTTTTATTGATTTTAGAGAGGAAGGGAGAGGGAGAGATGGAACATCAATGATGAGGGAGTCATTGATCAGCTGCCTCACACCCCCTACCAGGGGATTGAGCCCGCAACCCAGGCATGTGCCCTGCCCGGGAATTAACCAGCGCCCTTTTGGTGTACAGGACGATGCCCAACCAACTGAGCCACACCGGCCAGGGCCAGAGCTTTTTCATTCAAAGAAAAAAAAGACTAAACCTGAAACCTAGCCTAATGCCTCCTGTTCCAGGCACTGAGCTCCCAGGCAGCCTGGGCCCGTTTGGAGGCCACGAGGGGTAGAGACTGGCCCTGTGCGTCTGAGGCTGAGGTTTGCTCACTGGCCGGGGCCTTCTGCTTTGCAGCTTGAGGAGCTACGATGGCAGTTAACAAGGGCCCCGCCTTGCCGGATGGAGACTGCCCTGTGAGTAATGTGGGTGTAAGTGAGGTGGGAGAGGGCATGGGCCGAGGAAGCAGCCGNGGAGAGGGTATGGGCCGAGGAAGCAGCCAGGAGGGGAGGCTCGGGGCCTGGAGCAGGACATGTCTAGAGGACACTAAAGTTCATTCACCGTTAGGTCTTAGTTACTCTCACCCTCACTGTTTTGCAGGGGACTTTTAGAGGACCTGGTGGGGTGGGTGGGGGGAGGAAGATGCCTGTTAAAAACTAAGGCCTTTGGAAAGGACTGGAATGCCGGCTGGGAGGGAGAGGAGACAGGAGCTGCTGTATTCCAAACCCAGGTGCAGAGCCGCTGTGTGCTGCGACCCAGGCTGTTCGTGGCGTGGTGCGGGACAGTGGCGCCTCGCAGGCACACAGTGCTCTGCCTGCACTACTGCACGCGGGGCGGGTGAGGGGCAGCGTGTCCAGTGCTGTGTGTCGGCCCGGTTTCCATGGGACCTGGATGGTTTGACATGTTGGATGTCCCTGATAACCTCCCGACAAGGCCCCTCTGGTTTAGACACGGTTCCAACTGTGAACCCGCGCAACACTCACCCTGTCCCACGTTAGCTTTAACCGCCCTTTGCCCTGGGAATCTGACAGCAGGTGCATGGGGGGCATCCCAGGCTGTGGGGCCAGCATGACAGGCGGGACCAGAGAAATGTTTACATAAAGTCTCCAAACTAATATGGACAGAAACTCTGTATCAGCCGGCGTAAGTGGGGTGGGCTGGAGCCTGGGGGACAGCAGCAGCCTCGGCAGCCCTGCAGAGCTGGGTTGTGACCAGAGGAGCCCACAGGCTGGCTCCTGTTTCTCTGGGGGAAGTCCAGAGACCACTGAGGCCTGGCTTCCTCCTAGGTCCCTTGGACCCAGGCTGGCCCCACCAGTGGGCTCTGTGGCCATGGGGCAGCCTTCCGGGGGGCTGGGAGAGGAAGGTGGGACAATTCAAACACCTTCATCCCCTGCCAGGAGCAGGAGAACGTGCTGCAGCGGGTCCTGCAGCTGCCCGTGGTGAGTGGCACCTGCGAGTGCGTCCAGAAGACCTACACCAGCACCAAGGAGGCCCACCCGTTGGTGGCCTCTGTGTGCAATGCCTACGAGAAGGGCGTGCAGGGCGCCAGCAGCCTGGCCGCCTGGAGCATGGAGCCGGTGGTCCGCAGGCTGTCCACGCAGTGTGAGTCCTTGTGGCCATCGGAGGTCGCCGCCTGTTCCATGTGCTCACTGCCTGCCTGCCAGCTCGTGTGTCCACCTGTCAGTCTGTCTGATCATCTGATAGCTTGCTTGTCTGCTTACGTGCCTGTCTGACTCATTGCAGTCTTCTCATCTGCAGATATGGCTGATGGAACTATAGAGACGCAGATGTAGATGTAGATCTGCTCTCACCTGTAGATGCCCAGCTGGTATCTTGCAAGATAACTGGTGGGCAGGAGGGATGGGCAGAGCTGTGTGCACAATGCAAGGGAGTGGGGCCCATGGCAGGTCAGACGCCCACTTCAGCTCCCAACCCAGCTGCACGAAGTAGCAGAGTCCGGCACAGAGGCAGGGGCAGCAGGCAACAGGGCTGGGGGAATGGAGGGCCAGGGATGCCCTCTGGGCCCAGCGGCAGATGGTACCAGCTCGTGACAGGCAGGGGCCGCAGAGAGCTATCAGCCAGGGCCCTGGAGGGGCAGGACAATCCTCCCTGCAGGCTTTTCAGACCTGCCGCTATCAAATTGTTCTGCCCCCATTTGAAAACGTGGTCTCCAAGGCCCAGCTCTGAACAGGGTTGAGGGAGATTCCAGCAGCACCAAGAGTCCAGGGCTTTCCACCATCCTGATTAGAGAGTCATGGGGGTCTGAGGAGTCCGCACAGCCAACAGGAGAGGACAGGTGTGAGGGGGGCACAGGCCCTGGGCCGCCTCCCTGCCTACACGCCCCTCAGATATTTTCCCGGTCTCTTTTTGCCCAATTAGAAGACGGCCACGTCATCTGGGCTCTACTAAAACCTTTGTGAAGAAAACTAAGATACCTGGAGATATATATATATATATGTATAGGAAAGAGTATATATAAATAGCCTCTAAAACTAATCCCCAGGATCACGGCTGCAGAGCTTGTCCCCACAGCCCCTGAGCACCTCTCCTTTCTCTGCCCTGTGACCCTCTGCCCAGTGTTGACCATCCTCACTCCTGGAGGGTAAAGGAAATGCCATGGACGGTCCGGGGCCTGTGCTGGCTGTGGCTGGGAGTCTGTCACCACTGGAACTGGTCCCACGGCGGCCCAGCCCAGGGCCCTGCTGCCCCTCCTCTCCCACCTCTGCTCCACCTTGTGTTTGTTGCTGATACATATAGCTTCTGTCACTTTCTCCAGGCACCGTTAATCCACACTTGACAGCGAGGTAGGCAGGCTGTGACTCACCTGGAGCCACACACTGCAGATGTGGTCCCGGGGCTGGGTGCAGGTCTGCCTGAGTCCAGTTCCCACACAAATGGCAGAAGCCAGCCTGGTCTCCAGCAGTCCCAGCAGACAGGGGGCTGGAGGTGGCCTTGGACCTCAGGCTCGTGATGCTCCGGAGAAAGCAGGGCTGGGGGGTCTGAGGGCTCTGGGGGCCTTCCTCGGCACTGCTGGGTTCTTGCAGTGTGGGGAGGGTTCACCCCACCATGGCCCTTTGCTTCCAGTCACAGCTGCCAATGAGCTGGCCTGCCGGGGCCTGGACCACCTGGAGGAGAAGATCCCAGCGCTGCAGTACCCTCCTGAAAAGGTGAGCCCTCTCTTCTTTCACACCCTGTGGTCTCTGCCTCTTGGGAGGGGAGGGTGCGGGCTGTGGATGCTGTGGCCCGGGGGCTTTCGTTTCTGGGGCAAGCGCTCTCCGGGCCTGGTGGCAGCTGCCTGCCCCTTAGGCCACACAGCATGCTTCTCCCGCTCCCTGTGGAGCCAAATGAAGGCAGGCTTGTGGCACCAGCAGGTACTGGATGGGCCCCCCATTCCTGACACCCCCTCCTTGAGACACCCTGTGGGCCTGTGTGGTACCAAGTGGTGACTGTAGGCACCTGAGATCCTGGTCACACTTGTAGACCCCAGGACTGCAGTCTCATGTCCTCAAGATCCAACCCTTTATGGGACCATGAACCCATAAAAAGTCACTTCACCTGGATACATGGTCATTGGGTGTTTGCTGTGGTAACAGCAGGTCAGGTGCTTTTGGGGAGTAAGTCTCTGACCTTGTCCATTAATCCAGGTGCTCAGATATTGGTGCCAGTCCCTCTGGCCTTTAAACGTGTCTGACCCTCCCCCCACTCCCCCAGATTGCCTCGGAGCTGAAGGGCACCATCTCCACCCGCCTGCGCAGCGCCCGGAACAGCATCAGTGTGCCCATCGCCAGTACTTCCGACAAGGTCCTGGGGGCTGCTCTGGCCAGCTGTGAGCTCGCCTGGGGGGTGGCCAAAGACACTGCTGAGTATGCTGCCAACACCCGAGCCGGCCGGCTGGCCTCTGGAGGGGCCGACCTGGCCCTGGGTGGTGTGGAGAAGGTGGTTGAGTACCTCCTCCCTCCAGACAAGGAAGAGTCAGGTATATGCCCGTAGGGGCTGCTGGACCCACCCTGGGGAGCGAGTGGGCCCCTGGGAATTAGCAAAATGGGTGAGGGCTCGTCCAGCCACTGCTCGGGAGCAGGGGGATCCAGGGGGTTTTCAGACGCACCCGTCCTCACTCAGCCCCTCTCCCCATTTGTAAGTAGGGAATCACCATGAGCCCGGTGGAGCTGGGGCAACAGCTCTCCAGCCCTAGACACAGCCCAGTTTCCCTGCTCCTCTGACCTGCTCTCCCTCCTCTCCCCCCAACTTCAACCCAGCCCCTGCTCCAGGATGCCAGCAGGCCCAGAAATCCCCCAAGACCAAGCCAAGCCTTGTGAGCAGGGTTGGGAGCCTGGCCAACACCCTCTCTCGACACACGCTCCAGACCACAGCGCAGGTGCTGAAGCAGGGCCACGCCCTGGCCATGTGGATCCCGGGTGTGGCACCCCTGGTGAGTGCCCTGAGCTCAGGCTGAACCCCAGCCTGGGCTGGGACTTCAGGTCTGAGGATAAGAGGACTCGCAGGGCCAGTCTTCCAGGCTGCAGGGGGAGAAAGTCCAGGATGTGAGCTGAGAGCAGGCCTGCCTTGCCAGGGTGGTCCTCCCCCCCCATTTCTGTCTCTCCCATTCTCCCACTGGGTCTCATCCCTCTTCATTTCCCCAGTTGGGCCTCTCGCTGGGGGACCTCCTACCTGTCAGGGAGCAGAGACCCCCTCCCCAGCTGCTGTCCAGCACTAGGGAGTGTCACCTGGAAATAAACAAGGCATGAATCCATTCTGGGGAGAGACCCCCAGCTGGACAGTGTCCCTAATTGCCTCCAAGTTTCCAGTTTCCCTTCTGGAGGCTTCTAAGTTGCATCCCTCTGCACTGGAGGTAGAGCTGCCTGTCCCAGGCTCAGGGAGGGGTGCCTTCTCTCCTCCCTTGTCTCTGTGTATTTCAGCAGAGAGGGGCGGGATTTTTTCATAAGGAACTTTAGTAAGAAACTAAGGCCAGTGTTAGAGCGTGAAGGTCAGCAACACGTTTCAGCCATCGTCAGGCCAGAAGGTGGTCACCGTTGGGGTACTGACGGCCCGGCACAGGCGGCTCTTGCATGGTTGAAAGTGGTCTCGGTCTTGACCTGTGCTGGTTACTCAGGTGTGTGCACTTGGTGTCACTTGCCACTCGTTCAATGAGGAGTTTCAAGCACAGTCCACTGGGGCTAGGCCCTGTCCCCCCACCCCTGGCCCTGGGGCTGAGGCTGAGGCACTTTGGCTGCTGGGCCGTAAAGCCAGAGGCCACCTCCTTGGCTCCTCAGAACAGCCTGGCCCAGTGGAGTGCGTCAGTGGCCATGCAGGTGGTGTCCCGGCGGCGGGAGAGCGAGGTGCGGGTGCCCTGGCTGCACAACCTGGCCACCGCCTACGAGGAAGCCCAGGATGACCAGACAGACAGCGAGGCAGAGGAGACCAAGGAAGACGAACAGGAGGAGGAGGCTGAGGAGCAGTTCAGCGAGGTGAGAGCCCAGCTGACCGCGTCCCACAGCCCAGAGGTCAGGAGCAGAGGCCCGGCCAACAGCACTGCACGCCATTGTCTCAGCTGACCCTCACACCAGCCGTCACGTAGACAGGGCAGAGACTGTTGTCCCCACTGCAGAAGACGAGACAGGTTCAGAGAGGGGGAGTGACCTGCCCAAGGCCCTACAGCTAGCAGCAGAGCCAGGTGCCCACGCTCTTTCCCCTCTAGGTCTGGGGATGGAGGGGAGGGAAAAGGAGGGGCCAGGGAATTGCTGCAGGAGGCGCTGACCTTGCTCTGGCCCCCAGGTAGCAGCCCCGCCCCGCCCGCAGGGCATCCTGGGCAGCACGGTGCACACCCTGCAGAAGGCTGTCCGGGGCACCATCTCGGCTGTGCTGTGGGCACCTAAAGCTGTGCTGGGCACTGCAGGGAGGGTGCTGCACCTCACACCGGCCCCCGCCATCTCCTCGACCAAGGGGAGGGCCATGTCCCTGTCAGAAGCCCTGAAGGGGGTCACAGACAACGTGGTGGACACAGTGGTGAACTATGTGCCGGTGAGTGTCCGCCCCCCTCCTCCTCCCCTGGGGCCTGGACAGGTCAGAAAGCGGATTCCCTGCGGGGCTGCCGCTGTCCCCATCTCCTGGGGATCCTGTGATCCTCAGGGCTGGGGAGCAGGCTGATCTGCTGAGGTCTTGGCTGGGGCAGTGTGGGGGCTGCTCTTAGCCCACAGCTTAGGCCCCAGGACGGGTCAGGTAGCCACTGAGCTCCCGCTGAAAGACCCCTGAAGGAGGCACCAGGGGTCCAGAATCTTTTTGGGAGGGCCGGCCTTGCCTTGGGCTTTGGACTCCCGTCTCCCTTGCGCGCCCCATCCCCCTGTGCCAGAGGCCCTGTGCCCTGCTAATGGCTGCT